TATGTGTAAAAATAAAAAAGTGCATGCTTTTTTGGGCCCTCACTGTATGAGAAGGTTTTTTCTGTTTAGTTTTATAAATTGTATTAGTAATATCAAACAAATATCTTGTTGATGACGCCATCCTGAAGATAAAAGTTGTTCTTGTATGCATAGATAAAAAAAGATGTATAAAAATGAGAGTAAAACGATGAGAATTTGTTACTTTTTCTTTTTTTTTTTAGTTTATCTGAAATGTGTTGTTTCATGTAGATCAGTGCAAATATGAGTAATAGTTTATGTTTTCATCGATAAGCAAAATATACTTTAATGAAAGAATATGCAACTAGGGTGCGTGGTTTGGGTGTGGATCTTCTGTTCAATCACTCACACAGTCCACACTCACGCTCGAAACGTTCCTTTTCATCCAAAGTACCTGCAAAACAAATAAAATCATGAACGGAGCATACAGTTGATTTTTAATTATCTATTTTTTCGATAATGACTCGATAGTTCTTATTCTTTTTACGTATTAGTGCTTTATCAAACTTGTCAACGTCAGCTAATCTTTTGCTGGATACTAAACTAAAGCCATTGTGCTCGTCCATATAACTGATGAAGGCGAATTCTTCATTTTTCCGTACATGCGACTTCGTGTTGTAAGATTTCGCATAAAAGTTTAATGTCCGCTAGAATACAAATAAGATGCTTCATTGAATAATTGACAATCTTCGCAGCAATACAAGATAGAAAGTTAACTAACAAGGTGTGGGTGTTGGCTTGTGGGTTTCCATGTTGATCTTCTTTCAATCCACATCTACACCCATCCATCGCATCCACCATCACCCTGACTAGCACTTCTTTAAATCTAAATCTATGTTGCGACTATTGGTCCGGTCACCAGTCATACAGAATCATTCGCCTCCAGAAAAAGATTAGTTGCGACTCTTCGAAAATTTCGCAAGCATAGTCACTAAGGAATCTGGTATTATAGGACTGACTAGCAGACATGGATCGTTACAAATGTATGTCGAAGTGATTCTTTTTTATGATGCTGTCAGCACAATATAATTTCTTCTATTTTGGGAACAAAAATTTTCGAAAAACAAGCTAAACATATTACGCAGTACAAGATAACAGTCAACATTTTCAAACCATAGATCTATCGCATTGTACTTTGCGAAAAAATAAAATCAGTTCAGTTTGCTATAACAATATTATCAATTAAAAATTGTGCGCTAGTACCATTCACTACAAATTCTAGGCCAATTATCGGACATAGCAATGGCAAGGCTATCGTTTGCACAGCAACTACATATTCTAATGATCCTCTCTTAAATAATTGTTTGCTAAGAGCGGGAAGAACATGTACCATAAAAGAACCGCTCGATTCATTATCATAAAAGAGCTGTACTTCCAAATTATCAACGAGTCCACCTTCTGGACGGCCAACACTAAATCTTAGAATTGATCCAGTCAAAGTATTTTGAAGTTGAATTGTATATCTTCCGACTAAACTTTTCATTGGTTCCAAGATCAACATTGTTGATCGATACACGTTCACATAGACAGAACTCCATAATGACAAATTAGTCACTTTAATCTTAGAACCAACAATTGTTCCTACTGTTATATCATAATTCTCAAAATCGGCAATGATTGTTTCGTTCGAATCTTGAAATGTAGATATATAATTCGTATACGGTAAATACGGCAATGCCGAACGATAATCTTCAAATAAAATACGATGTTGTATTTGACCTTTGAGAATAACATTCATGAAAGTTGACATGTATATTTTACATATATGTTGTTGTTGTTCAATTGACATTACTGGACGAACATTCATAAATTTATCAGTGGCAGGAGCAAGATCATATCTTCCCCAGTTTGTATTGAATTGTCCATGATTTGCTTGATGAACATACAGAGAAGCTTTGAAATTATAATTCGTGCTATTTGGTGTGAATTTTAAATTTGTTAATTTTGATTGAAAAATAAATGACGATAGATCTGCATCATAGACACCATGTATACCAAACATCGAAACATCGTATGATTCAAGACTACGTCCTAATAACATGTAACCATCATCTGTACCGGCAATTGAAAATAAAGCTTTTATTCCGAAATTGTAATTAGTCAGAGATACACCAGTCGGATATTGAGGCACGAATCTTAACTTATTCAATACGTATGCAATCACAATCGCTTCACCACCACGTGAATGACCCGCTAAACCGATATTTGATAGATCCAATTGATTGTAAAATTGATTGGTCGTTTGTGTATTCCATAATCGCATTTGTTTCAATGTTTCTAATATGATAATCGCTCTCGCAATCATGTCTGGATAACTACTAAAACTAATATCCAATTGTCTAATTTTTGATATTTTACCATACCCAATTAATGAATAATCAGGCGAACCATTTAAAAAATTCTCATCAATCGATACACAAACAAAACCTTGACTAGCCAACATTGTACACAAATAATCATATCCAATTTCACTGGATTCTGTTGACACATGATTTCCATGGATCATCATAACAATAGGATATCGACTAGTGTTATTGCTTGTATTTGTAGGGTACCATATTCTACCGTTGAGAGGAAGAGTAGATTCATTGTATCGAAATAGTTCTCTATTGAACGATGATAATGTAATGAATGAAGATAAATCAATTGTTGATGTTATTATTGAGGCTTTAGACCCATAATCACCCCGAGAATCAATACCACTTCCATATGTAAGAAATGAATATGAATAATTACCATTCAATGATGGGTCTTCGGTTATATTTCGTGGTAATCTTTCTAATGGTATCATTACACGAATGTTCATTTTAAAACCGTCCATCAAAAAGTACCATAGTATAAGAATTATTCCTACACAACCTATACCCGCTAGTACACTATAAATAACTTTGAATAGTTTTCGACGTGAAAAAATCGCTGCAATAATACCACCGCTGAAGAGCGTCTGACTCAATGAAAGTGCAATGCCTAATTCGAAGTCAGATGATGCAAACCCTCCTGTCATTCCAATTTTTAACATAAATAATTGTAGTGTAACAAAAATTCCAATAATAAATGAAATTACATCATAGGATAATTGTTGACGCATAAAAAAGCATTGGTGCCATATATAATTAATAAAACGAATGAAAACATAACTAAAAAATGTTATCTTCAAAAAATTAGTCAACATGTAAATTAAATAGCCAACAAACATATCAAATTGACTATATCCTAAATTCAATGGTGAAATGACCAATGCACATAATAGAGGTGTGAGTATTGCTAAACTAATACTTGTTACATTGACTATACGGGTCAAAATATTTGTCCTGGATCGTGAACGTGTGACATATTTGTTCTTAAATTGATGCCAAACCTGTACAGATAACACGCTGATAGTGGAAACAGTTTCTATTAAGCGTATGATAATTAAGGCTTGTAATTCTATTGTGAAATTTCTTAGAAGAGCTAGAACTAAAAATTTGTCAGTGCGACCCCTTATGGGGTCTAAATGTGAAACTCACGAACCCGGTTTGTTAGAAATTTATAAAATGTTGCCAAAGTCTTCAAAATAATTGACTTTCAAAAAATATCAAATAAACGAATGGATTAAGATTATCACAATTTTGTAGTCGATATGTGCGCTTTGTAATTTTTGTATTTCGAAAATATTCCGATTCATAATTATTTGTCTATCAATATCTTTGATCTATTTAGTATTGTTATACTCTAAAAACTCATTTATATTATCAAATACACATTTCAATCTGTAGCTTATTTTCTCCAGACGATAACATATCTTCAATACATGCTACAGAAACCAATACTTGTAATTTTATTCGTTTCATCGACATAACTATCACATTATCTTGCTATATAAATGGATTTAATCTCTCAGTAAACTGCCATGTGCATGATTCTTTTTTTCGAGGTATGTCATCATATACTAATGAGCTTTGACTAGAATCAGAATTCAATCGATTCAGATTTTCCTAAGTTCGTTCCGTTTTCACTCTGCTAGATCAATAACATGATCATCTAATTAATTGGTAGCTATAATAAAATCCTTTCTCTCAATGAGAAATCACATCGCACCGCTCGCAACCTTTCTGTTAATGAGATATTATAACTCGTTGATAATGCTTGTTATGGAGGCCTTTGCTGCTCAGGTCTGTAATGGGGAGGGAAGCCGCAAAAACTTCAACTGAAAATTTACACTCATTATTTTCTTCGAAAATATATGTGAGTTCCACAAAATCAG